TAAGCTTATTTTCTCTACTTTACTTTGCACCTTTTCAAACTTTTCCCAAGGTACATATTCGAGGTTTTTGTCTTCATAGTCTAATTTGTAACCAATCTGTGCAAGTTCGTTGTACATCGCTTTAAGTTGGTTCAGCGATCGAATTTTTGCCGGTGGTGTTTCGCCTTTGTACGTCCAGTAGTCTCGATGATTTCTAAATTCATCTTCAAAACAGACGCTCAAATTGGAAAGTGCAACACTTCTGGGATTTCGGAAATCAAGAAGAACCAGATTATCAGAGATTTGTGAGTTTGAGATGAGTAAATTTAAAAACTGAATCGAGTAAGCTGGATCATTTCTATCGGTAAAGCAGATATTGAAAAAGAACACTTCAGATTTGGCACCAAGACAATGAAAGTCGTAATACTTTGATTCCAATTTTTCCGGAACAGGCTTTCCTATTGCAGTATGAATGAGTTTTAGGAATCGACGAGTGGAATTGGGTGGAACTTTAGAGAGACTAGAGTCAAGCGAGACAAACGGAAAGGGTTTTCGTTTAGAATCGAATCCTGAAGATCCGATGATAATCAATTTCAATTTTGAAATGGGAAAGTTTTGATAAGTGCCGCTAGTGAAGTAGGCATTCTTGAAGGCTCTCTGCCAGTCAAAGAGGAATTGGTTTCCTTTGAAAGAAAACTGGTTATTACCGGGAAACTGTTTCATCTGATAGAGAATTGTCTCAAAGGTGGCCGGTTTGGTTGTCTGACTGACATCTTTTGGGGGTGACTGCCCACTGGGAAGCTGCAGTTTTATGTCACGGTATTTGGATGCCGATAAATAGGTGTCATGAAGGTCAGCAGGATCAGACTGTCGGGAAGAAGTCATAGCGGAAGTTGAGGGGGTGGGGAGTAGAGGAACCACTTTATTGAAAAGGAAGACGGAGGGAATCTTTGTACCGTTGTTATTGCCAAGGTGTGCCATGTTTATATACTCCATCAGACACAATGAGTTATCGTTGCTGGGCAATTGCGTCAACGAGAAAGGAAATAACTGCAGCAATAGCTGCTGCATTGGGCAAGCAGTAGCGCGTGAGTTCACCTCACCAACAGCAGACGATTTCTCTACGACACAGCTACGTTCTGCAAGCGACACACACTCACTGACAGTTAAAGACAGCAAAGGACTTTCAATTAGAGCTCATTTTATTGGTGGAACTGTATTCGATAAACACACACATTTAATTTTGATTGTCAAGCTTTGAAGTCAGAGCTTGGAGCTGTTGTACCCGGGCTCAGTAGTAGCCATAGTAGCCCCACGGACGAGGACGAAAGAGACCGCCAAGGGCTGAAAAAGAGGGGAAATGGATTAGCAAAAAAAGATGAAGTGAAAACACTGCCAGAGTACTTACTTCCTAAAAGTCGTCGCTTTGCAAAGAGCAATGTGCCTAGCAAAGTAGGGCGTGGNAGGGGAAATTGATTATCAAAAGAAGATGAAGTGAAAACACGGCCAGAGTACTTACTTCCCAAAAGTCGTCGCTTTGCGAAGAGCAATGTGCCTAGCAAAGTAGGGCGTGGATAGTAGCCCCCATATCCGTATGGGTAGTAGGGATAGTATCCGAGTCCAAATCCGAGTCCTCGTGGTTTGCGGCTCAGCGAAGTGTGCGCGCTTTGACCAGAACCAGTGGGCGACACTGTTTTCACTGCACTCTCACCGAAACTGTGCTTCTGAACCTCCTTGATAGGCAAAGAGGTGGCTAGAACAGTCAAACAGACAACCAGAACAAGGAAAAGTGCAAACACGCGGAAAAGTCGTGCCATGATGTTTCGAAGAGGCAGTGGTGGTGTGCTCTTGAGTGGTGTTCGTGACAAACTGACAGAACCCCAAACACAGTGCCCAACTTTTATGTCAGCAAGAGAGGGGACAGAGAAGGAAGAACCGAGAGATAAGTAGCTGAAACAAGTTATGGCCAGAACGAGAAAGTGCCCAGAGGGGGCAGTGAACGCCACAGTCTGTGGGCACTCCATGGGGTCTGATCCTCTCCCTGATATTCAGAGAGCTAACACTTTCACAGGGGCCTAGTTAGCTAGCTCTATTCTCTATGAGCCCTTTATTTTTCCTCAAAACTGTGTGCTCATAAAAAAAACTCAAATTGCTAGAAGTAAATAATTTAGAAACTTCTCCAAAGTTTTCTCGCTTTAGAGTTCTGATGAAATAAATATTTAATTTCAATTATTATTTTCAGCCTAATTATTGTTCTTGACATATCTCGATTGAATAATAAACTTGCTGTCTCAAAACTTGAAAACTCCATTCTTTTCACGAAAACAACTTAATTGTTTAGGACACGCAACTTTGAAAACACACACCGACCTACTCAAAAGGGGTTGTTTAAAAAAGGTTTTTTGCAACAGAATTCCAATAGTCTAAAATCGACCGGATACGGTCGAGATCGCTGCTAAATGCGGTGGAGAATGCAAATGTCAGAAAAGTTGGCCTCAGAATATAAAAGTAAAAACTTCATTTCTTCGTTTCTTTAAATTGAAATGTTAAACTCTTCGTCACTTCAGTTTTACCACTAATTCTGTAATTAATTATCGTTTCCCCAAATAAAAAGAAAGCGAACTTTAATATTGCGGAGAATGCTCGCAATAATTGCGTAACAAGCCTCTAATGCAAGAAGCTCACTAATGATGGAAGTAAGTTCTAAAGACCATAACATGGCGCGAGAAAAAACTGGAACATTATCGATCTTGGTTACTTGAAGGAATTTCAGACGGTATAAAACCTGGTTGCTGAAGTATTCGCTCTTAGTTTGGAAAAACACGCCGAGTTTAGCCTGTTCTACACCTCAGTTAACAATCAGCGAAATTGGCATGATTTTGACGATTCACTGAGAATGTCACCAGTCTGATCAGCCAGTTTTGCTAGTTGTTGATTTGAGAGCATCTTCGTTTCGTTCTCGAATGAAGCCTCTACAAGAAAGAAAGTTGCTTTTCTATCAATTGATCGGGCTGAACGGTAAATTTTCAGACTTGCCGCTACAAATTTACGGTCATCCTGCCCAATTGATCGACTGGGCAGTAGCTTCAGTTGCTGAAGTTTTAGTAAGTTTCGACACTTTGTTTGAATATCTGCTGGGATTGATGCATAGCGGCAATTAAATATTTGTTGAAAAAGAAATTCCGTGTGCTATCAATTTCAAACGATGTTCAATACAAATTCATCTGCTGACATTTTTGTCTCACTTGGTAATAACGTGAGTAATTCCAAGTTGCAAATAGAAGAGATCTGTTTATATCCTGCAACAGGGCAGATTGTTGCCGAGTGATTACGCCCTGCAATGAGATAACACACACTTGCACTTTCTTTTGTCACTGCAATGGGAAAATTACCACCGACAGGCGTCATCAGCTGTATGCACCAAGTGAAGGCACCACATTTTCATTTTTTTACAAAAAAAATAAAATAAACGAAATTCTGTGGCAGAAGCCATGTTTGAGCAGCAGTTGAATGCTGTCCCAGGTGTGTCCCAGTTAAATTCTTTGAGATGATAAGAGATAAGACGCACGGCGCATTGACAGAGCGACGGTGTGCCCGCCTTAGCAGCAGCTGAGACGTTTATTTTTGTTTACGTTTTAAGCATTTTAAAAATCAAAAACCTATTTCCACCCAACGCGTGGGAGTGACAGACGGCTGGAAATGTCACGCTCAGGAGAGGAGGAGGCGGCGCCTGAGGCGCCCTGCAGCGGGGCGTCCGACCACCCCAGCAGCGCGGATTCAGCTGGTGATGGCAGCTGTGAATGGCGACATCCGGTGCTGCAGCGCCCAGCACTGGCCAGCGTAGAGCATCCCCCTTTGCGGCGTCCGCAACGCATTCGCCTGTGCGTGTAAGCGTGCGTTGCAAAAGTGCTGCGAGTCTGTCTCTCGATACCGATGACGATGACGGCGCTCTGTGGCTGATTTTGTTCTCTCTCACTCACTGCTACGTTCTCTCCGCTGCTACCCATTGTATTTCAGTGCTCGAAGCGTCCAGTCTCCCTCTCTCTCTCTCTCTCTCTCTCTCTCTCTCCCTTTACTCACTCTCTCTCTCACTGTTTCTGTCGTCCCATCATACATACGCCTGCTTTGCCTGCGACCTGCTCGCTCATATTTTCATCATCATCACCATCGGCGTAGTACTCCTTTTTCTACGGTTTCCACCCAAACTCCACCAACACCCCACTCCACACTATGAATCCCGATTAGTAAGTGAACTCCCTTATCTCCTGGGTGGCTCGAGTTTAATAGAATCTTGTTCTCTCTTCCCTTTAGCGATTACCTCTTCAAGTTGCTTCTGATTGGCGACTCTGGCGTTGGCAAGTCGTGCCTGCNTCTACGGTTTCCACCCAAACTCCACCAACACCCCAATCCACACTATGAATCCCGATTAGTAAGTAAACTCCCTTATCTTCTGAGTGGCTCGGGTTTAATGGAATATCATTCTCTCTCTCTCCCTTAGCGATTACCTCTTCAAGTTGCTTCTGATTGGCGACTCTGGCGTTGGCAAGTCGTGCCTGCTGCTGCGTTTCTCCGATGATACCTACACTGAGTCATACATCAGCACCATCGGTGTCGACTTCAAGATTCGCACCATTGAGCTGGACGGAAAAACGATCAAGCTTCAGATTTGGGACACCGCTGGCCAGGAGCGATTCCGCACCATTACCAGCAGTTACTACCGCGGTGCACACGGTATTATCGTCGTCTACGATGTCACAGACGCCGAAACGTTCCACAATGTGAAGCAATGGCTGCACGAGATTGACCGCTACGCCTGTGATTCGGTCAACAAGCTTCTGGTGGGAAACAAGGCCGACTTGACGACGAAAAAGGTGGTCGAGTTTGCCACTGCAAAGGAGTTTGCGGATAATCTAGGTAAGAGAAATACTTTGCTGTCTGCTTCTCCAGTTTTGGCAACACCCTGAATTTGCTAACGTTGGCTCTTCTTTCTCCCGACTCTGTACGGTAGGCATTCCATTCATTGAAACTTCTGCCAAGAACGCCACCAACGTCGAGCAGGCGTTCCTCATGATGGCCAGTGAGATCAAGGCTCGTATCGGCCCCTCAACCGCTGGCGCCAAGGAGCAGTCAGGTGCCACCATCAACCCCGGACAGACGACCTCGATCAACCAGCCGTCTCGCGGTTGCTGCTAAGCTTCGGAAGCGAAGAGCTCCTATTGCGCCCACTCACACACACACTTCACTCGCACCACCATCGCAGTACCAACAACAACAACAACCAGTTCCAGCATCTGTCTGCACTCCAACTTACAATTATCCGATGATTGTACAAGAAGTGGAAATTAAAGCTTAGCGTTTTATTCTATTTTATATCTCTAGGTCTACCTATTACCAAGGTCTCCTACCAAGGCCATTGGATGTTGTCTCGGAAGGAACCCCTCCTCTTCTTCTTTCTCTCTTCTCTCTCTTATCTCTTTCCCTCTTTCTCCCTTTCTTATCCAATGTCTTTTTCCACGTTTCTGTAAATTATTGCTGAATTAAATGTAAAAACGAAACCCCCTTCTTTTTCTGGTGGTATGTTTTTGGTAAGTGGAAGTGTGTTGTGTACACACTGCATACGCTGGTGCTATGGGTGCAGCACGGCTTCCCAAGTCTTTTCATGGTGAGGTCTCTGTGTTTTCTCTTTGGGTACATCAGTAGCGACAGTACACTGGCATACAGACACAGACACAGACACACTTTCCTCCAAACTTGCTGATAGATGATGGTGTGTTATATTTAATAATAATTAGGTGTACAAAATTAATGGTAATACATTCAGCGTACAACGGTAGAGAACTCTGGCTTAGAAAATGAATGAACATGAAAGCTTCCCCCACCCCACATCAAAGTATATAATGATAAGTGCACTCTCTCTTTGCTGTGCTGCACGTGCTGAATTGCTGCCCACCACGATCTCATTGAAGTTCACGTATGACTACGACTACTGCGGCACAATCTGCACTGTCACCTTTGGCTCATGGCCACCAGGAAAGGCGTTCAGATTGACGTNCTCTCTCTCTTTGCTGTGCTGCACGTGTTGAATTGCTGCCCACCACGATCTCATTGAAGTTCACGTATGACTACGACTACTGCGGCACAATCTGCACTGTCACCTTTGGCTCATGGCCACCGGGAAAGGCGTTCAGATTGACGTCTCGGTTCATCAGGTCCATCAGCGTGGACATCTCCACGGCCACCAGCTGCTCTGACTCGACAATCTGGTAGAGCTCCTCGCTGGGCTCGAGCACGTTGAGGTAGCGCTTGACAAAGTCCAGGTTGGGCGTCAGGGAGAAGGTGTCCATGGAGAGGGGCACAAAGCAGTGGCCCATGTCGTCGACGGTGACGGACACGCTCCAGGTGACGTGCATCGGTCGACGCTGGTTGGAGATCAGGTCGCGGGCCGACTCAAACAGCGCTCGGTTGGTGAACGGGTCAGAGGTGCTGAAGCGAAGCTCACTGAGGGGCAGTGCCTTGAAGAGCGCCGTCAGGTTGAGCCACGGGACATAGCCTGGAGAGAAAGAAAGAGAAAGCAAAGTGGTGTTAGCACCAAAGAAATAAATATCACCACCAACAAGTGTACTTACCACTGTCATCGACTTTTAGATTTTCAAAAGACAGTCGTTCCACGAGAATGAGATTTTCAAAAAGGAGTGCCAGCGGACGTGCCTTCGAATCGACCATCACGTCGACCATCTTAAAGGTGGTCACTTCAGTGCACTTGGCGACCTTGTCCAGCGGTCCAGTGCTGTCCTCCGAGCCTCCGGTGGTGTTCCACGAGGCACAGCTTCCCAGCTCCAGCGTCTTCAGCTGACTGTGCTGCTGACCAATGCCAGCCAGCACCTGACTAAACTCGGCGCTGGTCAGATCTTTGATGGACGTTAAACTGAGACTCTTCAGATTGGTGTACTTCGAAAAGGCAGCTGCCAGCGACTGCACCACCTTCTCTCGTCGTTTTGACTGTGAATCGGTTTGCTCTTCGCCGCCGTCAACTTCACCGTCATCCTCGAGCACGACAAAGCCGTTGTTTGAATTGAGCGACACCGCCTCGACGTGGCTGAATCGCTCCAGAACGGGGACGACGTCCTTCAGATGCACTGGCTCTTCGCTTCGCTTCTCATCAATCAGATTGACCACAGAGAGAGCCTTCAATTTGCCTAGAGGAACAACCTCATCTTCTTCAGTGGCCACCACCGGTAGCTGCACCATCTCCTGCAGCACAAAGAGAGGCACAGTGCCGAACTTGAGCATTTTCAGATTGCTCATGTGCTCGTGTAAGGTGCTAAAGTTGCGCCAGAAGGTGATCAGCTTTTCGGTCTTGCTGCTAGAGCGAGTACTGGACGAGTCATCAGAGGACTGGTCGGTGTTCACCGTGCTGGGAATCTTGACGCCTTCAAAGTCCAGCACGGTCAACAGATGATTGGAGGAGCCGATCACTTTGGAGCTGAGTGCAGGCCAGTCGACAATGGGCAGGCCACGAAAGCGGAGACGCGTCCAGATGGGCGTCATCGTGGTTAGCTGATGCCAGAAGCGATTCGTCTGACGGAGACTAATAATGTCGCGCGTGTCGAGGTAGTCGAAAGTCTGAAAATAATGGGTAGACAAAGAAGACATTAGAATACAAAACAATGAAACCAAAGAGTACTTCAACTAACCTTCATAAGCGACGATAGATTGCCGCTAAAGGCGTTCAAAACTGAGCTGTTCTTCGCCAGATACTTTGCATATCGATTTGGCGCCGGCTTTTGTCGTCTGCTGGTCTTTGCCATCAGTTCTGCCTCATCGTTGATTGCCATCACCGCGCTGAGTTTATCTTCGTAAATTTTCATTCCTCCATTGAAGGTCATCGCCGTTGGAATTGCATTCGGATAGCCGTTCACTCCACTCCCTCCTCGACTGAGCCCCTTCGTCTTGGAGAGTAACGAGCCCGAAGCGCCGTACTTGGGCGTCGAACTAATCTGACTGTACGGCATCGTCTTGTCCTTGAGTACCACTGAGTGGCCGTTAGTGCCCTGAGCTAGGCGGTACACATGGTTAATTGACGGCTGTAGGTTGTTCATCTGTGGCATTGGATTGCCCATTTTGGAGCCCTGTCCGTATGATCCAGCTGAAAAAGATTGTCAGGGGTTAGCAAAGAAAGCAAAAGTAGAAACTGCAAACAACTCACCGAATTTGCCTCCCATCTTTCGATTGCCCATCTGCTGCGGCAGCCCAAAGGCATGACTTCCAAGACCATTTCTGGTCATTTGCTGTGACGCCATGGCTGCACAGGCCATGATCTTCGCCGACATGCTTGAAGTTCCAGCGCCTGTTTGCGGGCCGAATCCATTGGCAGCCGCCATCATGGGGTCCATGGCTGACTTGCGGTGCTGTCCTCCCATCATAGACTGCTGCATCATTCCTCCTCGTGCTCCCTTGGGTCTCTTATGTCCGCCTCCGCCATTCATCATCATCATATTCTGGTAGCCATTATTGGCCGTCTTCAGCAAGGAGCTGGCTGAGCCGTTGCCCATCATCTTTAGCGGATTCAGCATGGAGTGGCCGGAAGAGGCCATGCTATGATGCTGCTGCGGAATGTGGTTCGGATTCATCTTCGTAATCGACATCGACGGCGACATCGACATTTGGCGAAGTTCTACCGGGTCTGCGTCAGTTAACGATGAAGAAAGATAGCTTTTGTTACCATTAGGCTGATGATGCGATGACTGCCCGTGCATGCCTCCTAGGCGATGCTTGGAATGCTGCTTTCCGTGCTTCAGTGGCTGGAGGTACTGCTGGTTCACTCGAGGAGGACTCTGCTGATCAACGGAAAAGTTCTGCTCAATGGGATCGTCGGCGTCAGCCAAAGCTGGCTCGGCCGAAAGTTGGGCAAGTTCAGGAGTGACGCAGTTCTGCAAGAATAAGAGAGATACAAATGAGAGGTCACAAGTGTCTAAAACAAAAAACTATGGCACATTACTTACCGGACACAGAAATCGATTGGGATTCTCCAGCCAAATACCGTCGGGAACACATTGAATGTGAAAAAGGCAGAAGCATGTGGAGCACATCAAATTAGGCATTTGATTGCGCTTTCCAGGACAGTGAGCACTGCACGGCTGTCTGGCGGCACCGGGCAAGATGCCCCCATTTCCCACGTTTCCTTCTTCATCCTCCAAATTCGAACCCTGTCCTCCTCCATCAGCGGCGTCCTGGTGCAGCAAACTCTGCCCACCGACCTGGTCATCAAAGTGACTGTTGTTTCCATTGCCAAACTTCTTGCTCTGATTGGTTGGCGCAAGCAGGTGCGCCTGTAGCTGCGAGCTGTGGCCCACTACATGCTGCTTAGGAATTTTAATCTTCAACGGCTGCGAGGTCGCGGGCGAAGGCTTAACTTTAGGCGCCTCCGATTGCATCATCGACTGGTGATCAGGAGCCTTTCCGGAGACTGAGCCATTATCATTGGCCTTGGCATTGTTGTTCTGCTTCTCCTCAAGCTGCTTCTTCGTTTTCACACTCTCTTCGACCTGCGATTTGGCCATCACCTGCTGCAATAGCTGCTTCTGGCGATTCACGCGTTTCTCCATTCCTGCGGCAAAGATTTGTTGAGAGGAGTAGACAGCTGATAAGATAGAGTAGGAGTTTAAAAATGTTATTTTGAGCACAGGTTTGCAAACAGACAACGCATCTTACCTTTTGATCTGCCCGAGCCTCCAATACTGTTGGCTGAATCCTGACTATTACCGTTAGATAGTGAGTCCTTTAGGCCATTGCTGCCCTTTGACCTCTTCGGCGTAAGCATCAGGTCAAAGGAGTCGTCATCGTAGCGACTCGGGAGGGTTCTCTTTCGTTTGCCAGGTCCAAAGCCGACCATGTCGCCCTTACCAGCGTCCTTCCGCGGCGATCTTCCTCGTCCAGACTTGGACATTGCTTGACCAGAGCCAGCGAGACTGTTCGCCATACTAACAACGTTACTAATGTTGACTGCCTTTGTTGTTGACACTCCTCGATTCGGCTTCATTTGATTAGTTGCCTGTTGAAAGTAAAGCGGGCGATGGACGTAGTTGCAGCCTCGGGCCAGTGCAGCGCGAACAATCTCATCGGGAGGACGCCAGATGGGCTGCTTCGAGTAGGAGAAGTTTTCCTTGGTCAGCCCCGGCTGTGGATTGTTGTTCAGGTATCCCTCCAGTTCGACGTAGGATCGCAGCTTCTGTGATCCATCGGCTGGGTAGTAGTAAACATCGCCTGCTTTCTTTTCTGCAGTTGAAGCGCCCTGTCGAATGACGAGCTCACGTTTCCAGCCGCGACTGAATGGCTCATGCAGTGCGGCGTACTGCTCCGGACTGAACTGGCGTACCTGTGGTAAACGGCAGAAAGTGGATAAAGTCAATTTGAGTTCATCACGTGACGATCAAATATAAATAGAAAGAGATCAACTTACCACTGCGCCTTGAAACTCTTTCCACTTGTAGACGCCATTTTCATCGAGATCTTCCTCTCTGATGATTGGCTCGCCGTCCATCTGCTGTTCATCTCCACCGGCGGGCTTCACATCTTCCCCCTCCTCGTCATAGTCACCGGCATTTTCGCTGACATTCGACGACTGAATCTGCTCGTCATTATCGTCCATCATTTCCTGCTTAATGTTTCCATGACCCTGAGTTGCGTCATCCTCGGCTTCGTACTCCTCTTCGTCAATGGAGCCACCTTCTTCGGCTGAATCAAAGTTACCCTGCTGATGTTGTTGTTGCTGTTGATCTTCTTCCTCATCAAACTGCCCATCATCATCCGCTTCCTGGAGATCCTCCTCCTCCTCGTCGGCATTGTCAGCGAAGTCACCGCCGTCGTCAATATCATACTCCAGATCGGATGACATGCTGCTGGTACTTTTGCGGTGGTGGTGTTCACCAGTTCGACCAGGGTGCGTGACACTGAATGTCAGCGGGCGCTGGAGTTGGCGGAGGGTGGTGTGCGCGATGCAGCGAACAATGTGATTCGTTTGGATGTGTGGAACAGCAGTGGTGGAGGTAGAAGCCGAACCGAAGCTGGTACGCACTTGGACAACAAAGCAACTCGCCGACCACACCGAGTCAGGAGAAGAACACACGCTCACACGCAGAGACAGAGACAGACAGAGGCAGACAGAGAGCGAGAGAGGGAGAGTGAGGGAGAAACGTGGTGGTGCTCCTCCTCTCTGTGGTGGCGCTCCGGAGCGAGAGACGGATGAACCAGCCGGCAAACTGCAGTGGGACTTGCGCGCGCTCTCTCCACCGCCGAAGCTCTCGCAACCTCTCTTTGTGCTTCTATTTGGATCAGTCCGCCGAGAGTGACTTCTGCGATGCACTACCGCTCCTGGAGCAGACTGTCAGTACGAGCATGTGGCGGGGGCCCCGATCTTCCTTCTGAAGACAACCTAACTCTCTGGTCGGTTCGGTTCACTTCAGAAAAGCAAAGCCAGCAGTTCGGCCAACAGGCAAATTGTAAACAACAGCTGCGGCGACGGCTGAAAGGTTCTTTTTCCAGAAGGCGCGCAAACTGTTGGAAAGATAAGCGTGCGTGTGACCTTTGCCAAAGTGGTCTATGACATCGCAACCAATGTCCAATGTTGGTTGGTTAACTAGGATTGTACGGGCTCATCTTGCACTGACAGTGCTGAACTTTAGCTTAAAGCGGCTGTCAAGAGTCTGTGTTTAGGTGCTTTATAGATTCAGTTGAACTTCGGATGATCAGCTTTGAACATGCAAAAGGAAGAAGCCAGTCAGTTGGGCATCAATCGAGGTTAGTGAAATGATGAACTCTCAACAGAAACAGTTCATCGAATCTGAACTGATCTGAATCGGAACATGGTTGAAACATCAGCTCCCACCACAATGGCAGATTTGATTGGTTTAGAAGCAGTGTGGAAGAAGTACTCCACACGCCTCCAACTGCGAATCCTCTCTTCTCAAAGTACATCAGAAAGTGCATCGTTTTTTGGCTTTATAAATATATTAAATTATAGTTTGCGAAAAAAAATCATTGCTTTATACAACACAGCTCCACACACACAGTAGTGGTACGGTCCTCTCTTCTTGATCAGCGCACCTTGGCACCTGGTCGGTGATCAGCACAGTGTGACAACCCCCGCAAAAAACAGAGAGCTGATTCTCTGAAGGGCGAGCGGGTGAAGGAGCATAAAAAGATGGCGTCATCAGCAAAAGCATCATCGGGAGCCGCCGGGTGAATGGCGAGTGAGGGTCAATGAAAGGGAGGGGTGTCTTTGTACAGTGGCATTGGTGGTGTCGTGGGTGGTTGTGAGTGCTCCAAGACACCATCTGATCTGCCGTGTCGATAGAGAACCAGCAACACCACGAGAACTTGACCAGTGGTCCATTTCATTTGAGTGGCGGCTTTCAGTGTGAAATCTACGCACGCTTTTATCAGTGACACCGGTGTAGCAGAGTGAAATGGCGAATGTTCAGTTTCATGATGATGATGATAATGATGACCAAAAAGGATGTAGACAGATGAGAATATAAATGAGGGGAAGGTTACTTGGATAGAGAGAGAGAGAGGCGAGGAGAAGTAGACGGGGAGTAGATCAAGGAAAAATAAGTGATGGTGAGGGAGGGGGTGATAGTGTTTCTACTATGTACAACAGATGTCAAGTTCTAAATAAAATCTCCGCCCCAGGTACTANAGGCGAGGAGAAGTAGACGGGGAGTAGATCAAGGAAAAATAAGTGATGGTGAGGGGGGGGGGTGATAGTGTTTCTACTATGTACAACAGATGTCAAGTTCTAAATAAAATCTCCGCCCCAGGTACTAAAATGGTAGTGTGCCCTGGCGCAAAGTAACGTCTTTCTTGTGTGTGTTGTGTATTTGTGGGCGTGTGCGTGCGTCAAAACCTTGGCTTCTTCGCCAAAAGGCCATCATCGAGATCATCATCGTCGTCGAGGTCCTCTTCATGGTCTTCGTCGTCCTCTTCGTCCGAGTCCTCGTCAGGGTAGTCGACTAACGCCTGGAACAGTGAAATAAAAAGAAGACAGTTGTTAGCAATAAGCTCACAGGCTCTCTCATGTATGATCTCTGTCTGTTTCCTTACCTTTCTGGAAGAGTTCGGAGAGGAGGCACTGTGGTTGACACTAGTGGAAACGATGCCAGCGGCGTTGCTGCTGCTGCTCAGTCCGCCGGTGCCCGCCGACGCCCCCGCGCCAGAGAAGGCAGAGAGAACTTGCGGTGAAGTGGAGCTGACGGCGCTGCTGCTGGTGGCACTGTTGNTGTGGTTGACACTAGTGGAAACGATACCAGCGGTGTTGCTGCTGCTGCTGCTCAGTCCGCCGGTGCCCGTCGCCGCCCCCGCGCCAGAGAAGGCAGAGAGAACTTGCGGTGAAGTGGAGCTGACGGCGCTGCTGCTGGTGGCACTGTTGTTGCTGCTGCTGCTCATATATCCAGGCGACTTACTGGTGCTCAGGTTGATGGCTGTAGGGAAAGGAAGGGGGAAAGCATAGAGTGAGACAAAGCTACATCACACCCAAATCATNGCCAGCGGCGTTGCTGCTGCTGCTCAGTCCGCCGGTGCCCGCCGACGCCCCCGCGCCAGAGAAGGCAGAGAGAACTTGCGGTGAAGTGGAGCTGACGGCGCTGCTGCTGGTGGCACTGTTGCTGCTGCTGCTGCTGCTGCTCATATACCCAGGCGACTTACTGGTGCTCAGGTTGATGGCTGTAGGGAAGGGGGAAAGCATAGAGTGAGACAAAGCTACATCACAGGCAAATCATCCCATCGGAACTTACTCAATGACTTCCGCTCAAACTTCTTCTTCTGATTGGCAGCGAATGAGGAGAAGAAGGGCGAGTCGATGAAGGCAGAAGTGGGCGACTCGTANTCCCATCCACACAACTTACTCAATGACTTCCGCTCAAACTTCTTCTTCTGATTGGCAGCAAATGAGGAGAAGAAGGGCGAGTCGATGAAGGCAGAAGTGGGCGACTCGTAGGCACTGCTCGTTGAGCTCAGGTGACCACCACCTCCACCAGCACCAGCACCGGTGGCAGTCTGCGGCTGGGGAAGCCCTCCTCCTCCTCCGCCGCCGCCACCACCGCCAAAGACACCGCTGCTGGTCGTCGAGCTAACTGAACTTTGCTGACTGAGCGAGTGGTGGAGAGACTGCAGCGAGGAGATGGTGCTCCCTTGCGATTTGTGCGCCGAAGGAGCTCCCTGCCCTAGGCCACCGCCGCCGCCCCCTCCCGAGAGGCCTGGTCCGTAGAAGCCAGCAGTGGCCTCCTGAAGGACAGCAGCTGAACTGGCAGCCGAAGCCGCAGCCGCCGCGGCCTGTTGCTGCTGCAACGTCCGCTGGCTGATCGGTGGCGGCGGACTGTCGGTATCGTCCTCGTCGTGGTAGTTCTCACAGTCATCGTCTTCATCATCGTCCACGCCGTCCTCCTCCTCGTCGTCGTCCTCCGCATTGAACCACATGTCCTCCTCCTTGTCCAGCTGACGCGGGTCTCGCCGGTAGCGGTTCCGTGCGATGAGAAAGGAATTACTGCAAAGAGAAAGGTTCAAATGAGAAAATGGGCTTGGGTGGGCCACTGTCANCGGGTCTCGCCGGTAGCGGTTCCGTGCGATGAGAAAGGAATTACTGCAAAGAGAAAGGTTCAAATGAGAAAATGGGCTTGGGTGGGCCACTGTCATGTGAAGTACTCACGTATCAATGCGCTCCCGCATGGCCGACTGCTGTTCGTAGAAGGCGCGCATCGACTTGAAGGTCTTCACGTAGTCAATGTGCTCCAGCTTTCCCTTCCAGAAGTTCTCTATCGTGTAGTTGCACAGCGAGAGTATAGAGTTGGAGTGCACAAACTCAAAGAGATCAATCACCGCCGAGTCGAGCAGGTTGTAGCGGCCCTTGTTCGCGAGGAAGGCGTCCACGATCGGTCCAAAGAGGTTGACAGTGATGATGTGCCGATTGTAGAACTCATCCTTCAGTCCGACTAGACGGCGAATGAAGCGAATAACGGCTGAAGGGGGAGAGAAAGTGATTAGTATTTCAATGGTCAGTGCACTACTTTTCTTTCTCTCTGGCCAAACACTTACACAGCACAAGAAAACGGTGCTTAGACTTGGTCAGGATGACAATCGACCGGACGACGTCCTTTGACAGCAGGTACCCTCGAATGTGGTAGGCGTGGTGCTCAATGCAGAAGGTCATCAGCTCGAGAATGATGGCAAAGAGCTGCGCCGACTGGCAGCTCTGCTCGCGGCACAGGTTAAGTTCAATCACTCGCTGGCGAGCGGCCGTCTCCTCGGGGCCGCCGCTACCATCGACCAGCGTTGCCGCCAGAATGGGCTTCGTTAGGTAGTTGATACAGTGCCGGTAGAAGTAGTTGAGGAACTCTGATTTTTCCGATTTCTAAACAAAAGGAAACAATGACAGTTAGCAATAGTGAGTGACAATTGATGTTAGGAGGAATAAGAAAAGAAAGTCCGTCACCATTACCTGACTTACATTGATAGGCGATGCCGTCAGCATGTTTTCGGGATCTATAAGCAATTTGAGTATGTTTGACAGCTGCGTGGCCATGCCTAGATCTGTATCTGTATCACAGATCATCTGGACGATGATAATATTGAGCAGGTACTTCTGTTCCTGAAATGAATGAAAATCAGAATGGTGTGCGTCAGTACATTGAGTTACAGTATCACAGAACGCTACAAATGCTCTTTCCCGCCAAAACACACTAGCGGCAAACAAGTGGCCAGACAGCAGAGAGCTCTGTTGACTAGTGCAGCTGCTGCTTCAGCAAAACGTCCACTTACATCTTTCTCATTGGCCTCCTGTGCGAGGGCATACTCGCGCACCATACTGGGCGAGTAGTCGACAATGTACGTCAGTATGTCGACGGCGCCCAGCTTGACGGGCATGTCGTCGATGCCGAGCAGCACCTCCAGCGTGTGCAGCAGCCCCAGACCGGCCAGTGTTTTGATGAACATCTCTCGGTTCTGCAGCTGCAGGGTGTGCGAGAAGGTGCACAGCTCCTTGAGGAACATCACCAGGTCTCGGCGCTTCTCATTCACCGCCGGCGAGTCGTCGGTGAGCTGTCTGAAGAGCTCCTTGAGGAACTTGTCGTCCTGCTGTATCAGACTGACAATCTCCACCTTGTTGAAGAAGATGAAGGAGGAGAGCGTACTGAGCATGTTGTCCTCAAAGACGGACGGCGTCGGCAGAATGACGTCCTGAATGTATTGCACTCGATATGTCTGGTGAATCTTTGCGACCAGTTCACTCTTCGACAGCGGTATCACTTCCTTGAAGCGACTGACATTTCGCAGAAACTCACGATGCCGCTTGTCACGTATTAATCGCATTAGATTGGAGTCAGAGTCAATGGATGCGAGTGTGCTGAAGTAGGAGGAGGAGGAGGGATTGGTGTTGGCGGGCTGTGCTGTTCGACTGAGTGGCGGTAGAGGCGGCGTTCCGGGGCAAATCAAGGGCACGTTTGGCTGAGAAGGAGAAGTCGATGCGCCAGGCTGGTTTTGTGATCCCAGCATCAGCTTCTTTCGCACCTCCTCGTCCTTTGCCTCCCGTACAGCCGCTCCAGTAGGGTCGTACTCGAAGACGCCGATCACATCCCAGAGCTGCTCCTCAGAGAGCATGATGTCAAAGAGGGAATTTCGGTTCAGGAGAAAAATGCTTTTAAAAATGTCGTACATTTTCGCGAGAGAGGCGACGTCTTTACGCTCTTCAAGGGTGCGAAAAAGAGTCAACAGCTTGGGGATGTAATTTTCCGACTCCAGTGCTAATGTTATGCTGTCCTTTTTCGACTGCATCGTCAGGGAAGAGCTGATTAGGGTGGATATTTCGTCGAGGCGGTCTGGCTCACATGGCGGTAACTCTGGTAACGTGAAAAAGAGAGTGATTTGCTAATTTGGGCGCCAAACAGAAAGAGAGCTGTCGGTTGTTTTGCTTACCAAACTTACCATTTTCGTCATCTTCTATGATGTCCTGCGTAATGTCAACACTGGGGTCTTTGCCTTGCACCTGGCAGATTTTGTTCCAAATCTCCTCACAGCCGGCACGCTCCTGGAAGGACAGTGCGAGATCATAGTTCTCGCCCTCCGACCAGACGATCAGCGTGTCTTGTTGCTTCTGGTACGCAGTGTCGGCGAGAATACGTGACTCGAGGAGAAGAGATCCGTCAGTTTCCGCTTTGACGAGCAGCGACATGCCGCTCAGGCGGTCGATGTAGCTGCTGCTAACGTGACCAGTGCCGCGGTCGTCCCAGGTTCGATTGGCATTCAGCATGTACAGCTTCACCCGCCGACGGGTGTCCGTTGGCGGTGCTGGCATGTTGTTGCTGTCATTCGAATTGGAGTTGGAGTTGGAGGAGGAGGAATCATTGCCATTGGTGGTGGCATTGTTGGCGAGAGAGTTGTTGCTGCTGTTGGTGCCGCTGGAGTTGGAGAGATTAGTTGTGCCACTGGCGTTGGAGGCGGTGGTGTTGACCGTTGCCGCGGGAGCATCACTGGCGGTGGTCATGCTGGCAGCTGCTGAAGGAGGCTCATCACCACCACCACCACCACCGCCGCTGCCGCCGCCGTGGAGCGTGGTGGGCGAGCTCTTGGTGGCACTGGTGGGCGAGCTGGACGCCGAAGAGGAGGAGGATGAGGATGAGGAACTGCTGGAGCTGGAGGAGGATGAGGAGGGTGAGGAGCCCGGGTCCTCGCCGTGCAGGTCTATGTCACCGCCGCTGACGGCGCCATTTGTCGATGTTGTGGGTGGTGATTCACTGCCGGGTGAAGAAGCAGCTGCGGCTGCCTCGGCGGCAGTGGTCGTCGTGGAGGCGGTGGCAGGGGAGGGCGATTCCGGCGGACCTGGACAGTCCATTGCTGCGTCGGCCAGTCCGGACACACTGTCTTGGACACCAGAGAATCGGGCCCGCGGTGAAGGAGAGTAGAGAAAGAAAATAATAAAACATAAAGCAGAAGAGCGTGCCTGCCTGCCTGTGTGTGCTGCCGGACAACAACGAGAAGAGAGCGCTGAAAGAGAGGCAGCGGAGAGAAACACTGGCGAAGGCTTGGGGATTTGAGCGGCTCAGACTTTGAGCCACTGCCACTGCCACACCACAATGTGAAGATGACACAAGGGACAATGCCGAAGCGGAACACTGACCACGGCTTAACCGGCCACCGGTGGCACTCGCCCGATTCTTCGAGTTATTCTACGCCGGGTCATACCTGGCGAGCGGGACCAATTAGGGCGCAGAACCGATAAAAATGGCGTCAAACGGTGGTCTCTTCACCTTTCGGGCTGTGCTCCGCGCTGTGTTGTTGTCTGCTCTGGGCGGGGGCTAGATTCGTACTCGAGCGCAGTGAGGGAAACGTCAAGACCCGCCCACTTTTTGTTCTCCGCACTGGCTGCACTGCCGCGGCTAGATTGCTCTACTTGTGGATATTTCGACAGTGCCCACCTTCAGCAACGTCGTGAGAAAACCCAAATTTGGCGCCCGTTTTTTTGTGATATGACATTATTTGACGCCCATGGAAGTGATGCCCAGATGCGGAGCTGGATGAGAGGAATCAAGAATGAGTTTTAAAAGGTGAAATGAATTTTGACTCAATTTACCTACTCTTCGCACAACC